TTGTTATTTTAATAAACTTTTGTTTCTTTTCAAATTTCACTTTGAATAAGAGTTTTGTTTTTTTTGTTATTGCTTCAATTAAGTTCTTTGGAAAAGATAAGATTATTTAAACCTTTCTCTAATTCTTTTCTTTTTACTTTAGTTGTCCTATGACTCAAGTTCATAATTATTCATAGTAAGTACAATATTTTAATGTTAATTCTGAGTGAGGAGAGGGAAATTTTGTTTTTGATTTTCAATTTAAATCATAAAAATAATTACTTTTAATATTAGAGGAACTGTAGTGAGTGCAAAATAATAACTCCCTTTATCCACTCTATTTAAATTTGGAGAACTGAGGAAAAAGGAATTCATGAGCCTATGTGAAATTTTATTTGGACCAATGAAAACCTTGCATTCACAGAGATTGACTGGTGAGCTGAAAAGAAGGAGGAAATGAATTTGTGAACCTATGTGAAATTGTTTTGGACCAATGAAAACCTTGTCTTCACAGAAATTAGCCATTGAGCCAAGAAGAAAGAAAAGAAAGTAGTGAGGTTATGTGAAATTTCTTTTGATATAAAATGAGGAGAAAAATTAAATTAATAAGAGAAGAGTGTTTGAAGTCATGTGAAAGGTTTCCTTTCAGTTCCTCATGACCAGCAACCAGTGTTAAATTTCTTGCAAGTGTAAAATTATTTGCCAATTATATCATTGGCCTTTAACTAAGCACATGGCACTTCAAAGAATTTTCTCACAAGAATCCAAGAAATTTAAGTATTTCAAACTACCTCTTTTTGTTTACTTTTGAAAGTATGCAACTGTATATACCTTCTGTGAGCAACGAAAGCTCTTACTTTTGTTTTAAACATTTTTGAATATTATTTTGTGTCAGTTCATTTAATCTGTTATACTGTTGTGCTTCCTACATTTTCTAGACAAACTGGATGTTGACTGCTTCATGATCCAAAGCAGACTGTGTAAATACGTTTTCTGTGCATTGGCTCAATGTATACATCCATTTTAACCAAAACAAAATTAATAATATATTAGGTCCAGTCAAAGCCAATCTCGCTCAAAAGCATAAACCTTAATTTCAAGCCAACTAAAAACTATAGATATCCAAATTTTAACAGACCCTACACAGATCAGTGTTTGATGTCAACAGTGACACACTGAGATGCAGCAGGTGTGGCCACCACCAAGTGTTTATTTGCTTCAAATTTTACCACTTTCTCTCCCTGTTACCTTAGCAACAGATAGACATTACCAGTCTTTGTATATATGTAAATAAATTATACATTTATTTACTGCTACTCAATGTCCTCTTTTGTTTGACACTTGGATTTACATTTGCCAAGACAGAGAAGGAATTAATCTCAACAGCAGTAACAACAAGAAGGTTCTACCTTGTAGGTTACCCATTTTCACCTATGCAACAGTATGAACATTTCCTCTTCATGACAATTCGTTAAAATTATGGGCTTTAAAAATTTTTGATTGATTTTCCTAAAATGAGCTGCTGACACAACTTCAAGTGTGTAAATTCATAAATAAATTCCTTATCTTGTTTTGTTAAAATTACACATGTTTCCTCATCCTTGTCATCCTCCATTAATCTTCTTAGCATAAGTAAATCAACTGTTCATTTTAACCCTGAAGCTTCATGACACTATAGAATTATCAAATTTTTCTTCTTTTAGATTATTTGCATATGCTGAAATTGTGCATTTGTTGCATATAGGTTTTAAGAAAAAATTTAAAAATTATAGTTGAATTCAAATAACCAAGGTTGTAAGCTTTTTTTTAAAATAGGATATGTTCCACTAGTCTTAGGGTGGAAAGATAAATTATATGAGACTGGCCACTGAAAAGATGAAGTGACACAAGACATGGTAAACTTAATAACTATTTTATTCAAACTGCTGCTTGATCTGTTTTACTCCCAGCATTCCCTAGTGAAACTGGAATTGCTTACAATCATAATCAACAATCTTTCAATAATCTTTCCTAAGGTAATTTATTATCGTCTTTAATTTATTTCTAACTTTAAATAATTACAAATCAAAGTTTGTTTTGGTTACAGCCCAAGGCGATAACTCACTCACTTTGTGAAATCAACCAAATATTTTGAGTTTGTATTGTTTGTCCGCTCTGAGTTTTTTCAGTACTTTCTTTTGTATTATTATTTGTTTGAAGATTTTTGTAATGATCTCTAAATGGTTTCTTTCTCAAAAGTCTATTTCCAAAATGTGAAAATGAAATATGCTTCCTGTTTCTTTAGGAATCCCCTTGATTAGTTGTCACAATCTATGATCTGTTATCAGTGTCTGCTGACTTGATTGTTCCTTCAGTGTTCCAATATTTTTCTTTATCTAATTTTATTCTAACTCTATCTCCTCTTTTTAGAGTTGGTAAGTTTCTGGCACCATGAAATCTGTTAAAATTCTTGTTCATTCTAGTTTTTGCCAATTTGTCTTTCTTCCTGATTTGTGGGAAATTGGGTCATCTTGGTAATAACTTTTTTGGCTGTAAAGGTAATGTGGTTCTTATTTTCCTTCCAATAATTAATTCTGTGAGACTGACTCCTGTGGCTTGAATTGATGTATTCTGGTATGCCATTAATGCTTGAAATGTGCCTGATAGTTCCAAAATTCTCTTAGCTATATTAAAAGTACTTTCCTCTTCTTCATTTGCTTGAAGATATGATGTGGACTTGATGTTATGCATTTAAAACCATAACTGTCTGTAAAATCTTTGAAAGCATAACGTGTTTCCCATTATCACTGATAAGTTCAATAGGAATTCCCTAACATAAGAAAAAAATTTGCAACTTCCCTATAACACAGTTGTTTGTCATTGGATTGAGCTTTGCTATTTCTATATATCCTGAGGAATAATCTATTGTAACAATATATTGGTGTCCTTGGTGAGTGAAAATATCTTTTTTCTTTTTATTTATTGGATAGTGTATGTTACAAAATGAGCATTTTTTTAGATACTAAAAAATACTCATTTTGTAACATACGATATCTCTGGTCTAAGTTTTTCAGGTATGGCAATTCCATAGTAATTTGTCATGGACTGACAATTCATTCAGACTTGGAAAATATGGCCTTATGTCTTCTTTTATTCTTCTTTCTTTATGTGTCCATCCATTTAGTGTGAAATGTATTATTTCCTGCAATACTGAGTCCTGTTTAGTAGCTATTTTCATCTCATTTAATTTTTTATCCAATGCTGGTCTGGTTCTTGCCATGCAGTCTGTGTATACTCCAAAATCTTTGTTGGCATTACTATCAGTGTTGGATAAAGGACTTCTTGATAGTGTATTAGATACAACTAGTGCTTTCTCTGGAACATGTTCTGCTATTGGGTTATATCTTCTCAGTTTCATCAGAAGTCTTAGACATCGTAATGGGGTATTGTACAGATCATGTGTCTTTATTAATGGTATAAGTGGTTTGTAGTCAGTTAACAGTTTAAAGGATTTGAGTCCTGTGACACCTCTGTCAAATCTTTAATATGTCCATACACAGCTTAAACACTCTTTCTCAATTTATATTTCCTCTCAGTGCTATTGAGTGTGCATGGGTTAAATGCTATTATTTTTAAATTGTCATCTATTTCTTGAAATAAAGCTGCTTTTAGACCATAACTGCTAGCCTCAGCACTAACTACTGTATGTCTAGTTGGATCATAGTATGATAGAACTGGTGCTTGAGATAGCAATTCCTTTACTTTTTTAAAAGAATTCTCTTGTGGGTAATCCCACACAAATACAATGTTCTTTTTCAATAATTCCATCATCGGTTGCATTGTTCCAGACAAGTTTAGTAAGAATTTGCCTAAGTATCTGACCATGCTGATTATATGACATAGTCCACTTAAATTTGTAGGTGCAGACAACTTCTGAAAGACTTTTAGTCTTTTCTTGCTGGGTTGAATTCTGTCTCCAGAATTTACATGCCCAAAATATTCTAGTTGTGTCTATTTTAATTCACACTTTTCTTTATTAAGCATGATTTTGGATTTTTGTAATGTTTTAAGAACAATTTTTAGCCTTTCGTCGTGTTCTGTAGATTAGAACATTGTCAATAATTGTTTTGACACCGTGAATATTTTTCAATAATTCTGAAATTAACTGTGTCACCAGCAGTGTATAATGAGAAAGGACAAAGACAAAAGAAAAATGCTCTATCTGCATTGCTTATATAGCAGTGTGAATAGAATGTATGTTCTATAACTTTCCATTTGATTCTATTGGACAGATTCGTATGTCAGCATTAGACAGATCTAGATGCTAGCAATCTCCACAACAATTTTGTCAAGACATTTTACTAAATTCATTTTTATAGCAGTCTTTCTAGATAATAAGTTCTTTCCCTTTATATATTTAATGACATATATCTCCATATATTTGTCCTTAGCTTCATCTGTAGTGTTACTAAATTTTCCAATTCACTGAACTATTCCTCCAGGACGTGTGATAATACTATTTACTGGTTTTAATAAAGGTTTTTCTCTCAGATTTTTGTAAGCCCTCAGTTGCGATAATGTTTATGTTGGTACCTGAGTTGATTTTAAACCTCACTACTCTTTTACAAATTTTTTAATTTTATACCATGAGTCATTTAAATCTGTTTCTGTTAGATCTTCTACGAAATATTACTTTTCTTCATTTACTGTCTGTATTGTATTAGTTTTTAGTTTTAGTTGTATTAGTTTTCTTAGCCATCTCTGTAGCTTTTTCAAGTTTCAAATCAAGAATTAGTTGTAATCTTTTGGATTGGTGCTTATTCTATACTATCTGTCAGAGAATTAGTTGAGATTAGATTTTTACAATCAAACATTTGCCAAACTCCGAACAATATTTATTAATGCTTCTTCATTTATTTTGGTTTGTACAAATATTGATAATAAGATTTATCTAGATGGGGCTAGTTTTAAGTTGTTACATTAATTTCTTATATTTTTCAAAAAGAAGTTTTTGGCGCAATTCTTTTTCAAATCATTGACCAATGGAATTGGTGGTTCGATTCTTTTTATTGATTGGTGGTTTTCTATACTATCAGAAGAAGAGTCCACAATGGTCTCTCTGGTTGGTAATTTTTCTTTGGAAACTCACATGCTTCTGCTAATTCATGCAATGTACAAATAAAGGTTTCCACTGGTTCTCCTGGTAACTGAACTCTAAGATAAAATTTTTTTACTTTCATGAATTATATTTCGTTTAGTTTTAGGCATGAAATAGACATTGAACTTTTTCAAAACTGAGTCACCGTGAGAAAGAAAATCTCCAGAATACATTTTTGGCTTTGCATCCCATGCAATATTGTACTGTCTTGAGTTTTGTTATCCTTTACCCAAAGTTTCAATGCTTCTCAAAAGCATTGAAATCTCTGACCATTTCTGCAAATTTCACAGATTTGTAAAGTCAAATGGTTCTGATGTTGTTAATTTGAACATTTTTTTCTTTTTTTGAATAATTTTTTTTTTTTTTTTTTTAGAATTGGGTCCTGTTCTTCTACTAAAAAATAATTTTCTTCTTTTTGAAAGAATTCCTCTCTGACACCATGTTCCACTGGGCTTAGATAAATTATGTGAAAATAGATGCTGAAAAGTAGAAGCAACACACACAAAGACAACACGAGACGTGGTAAACTTAACTATTTTATTCAAACTGCCACTTGATTCATTTTGCTGCCAGCATTCCTAATGGGACCAGAAGTGCTTTACAATCATCATAATGAACATTATTGATGTTGTTATTTTAACAGGATACTAATTTTCCAATAGATTTTCTGTTTTTGGCATTACGTTACATTTTCTTTACCTGCAGACATCATAAATATTATTGAAGTAAAGAAAATAGTAAAAAAATGACTGAAATAATTTTTCAATATAATTTTAATGTTTTGTAAAGAACATTGGAAGATTTTTGATAGACTTTTATTTTAGCTTTTTATACTTTGTTATGCAATGCATATATTTTTAGTTTACAGTAAACATAAATAAATATTCTTGAAATAAAAAAAATTCCTAAAAGTTATAAAAAAATAATTTTGTTCTTCCTGTCCTTGAAAATGAACAGAGTCAAAGTAATTTATTTTTAAACAGTCTAGAATAAAAATCAATAAAAATGATTTGAAATTTATATTTTTAAATCAAACAAAACTCAAGTAAAATATAATTTTCAAGAGGAAGTAACTCTATTCAGAGTGAAATCTGATTTGGAATGAGGGAACTGAAGAATATGGCTACTGCCGATATTATCGCTTAGCATCAACTCTGTCACTGTTTATTCAAATCATTTCTTATTTTGTCCAATTAAGTAAGTACCAAAATTGCATATTTTGATTTTAATACTATATATATTTTTCTGCTTCTTTCCTTACTTAGCTTAAAAAAAATAAGGCGAAGTCTTTGCGTGTCACATGATTGTTTACTAACAAGTCCATGCAACAAACGTACATACGAACGTGTTTTTATTATTCTAAATTTTATTGAACATGGAAGGTTTATCCGATCGCCTCTTAACCTGATGTATATAATTGTTGTGGAGGTGATTTTAGGGTGTTTAACTATGTATAAATTTTGGGATTGTTGGAGTTCCCTAAATCGGGTTTTTGGGCATAAAAAACATTTTGCACTGCTGACTCGAGTTACAAGATTAAAAAAAAAATAATGATGTACAATACAATGCTTGTAAAGTTAAATTTATTATTTATGTTAAAAAAGAAATCTGTATTATTTTCTGGTGTTTATCTTATCTTTATAATTGTAAGTTACAAATAATGAGAAACCTGAAAAATTATTATTTTTTTTTTAGTTTTAAAAAAATGTTTATGGTTTTACTTTTTTAAACGTTGTTTATGTCTCAATGAGTGACTCAATGACTGTTTTTTATTTGGCAATATTTTTTTAATTCTCTTACGTCTTTGAAGAATGTATCACCCATTCTTATTTTTAAAATTAACGAAAGTAAAAACAAAATTTGTAATTTATTAAATAATAATCGAATTTACTTAACAAAACAAAAAAAAACAACTAAAAATTTTATAAACTTTTTAATTTAAATGTTAAATTTTGTTTTGAGTCGTGAGAATCGCCTACCCAACTATTTTTTCACTATTTTTGTTTTAGTTTTTTTGCGGTAAGCTAAAAAAAAACCCTAAAAAAACTACTGATTTTTGTTACAACTTAACTTACAATAGCTTGTAGCTTTTGTCAACATAATGAATTTGAAATAAAGAAAGAGAAATATCTTTGAAAAATATGAGCAATTATTTAAGATCGCTAAAACAAAACAAAAACATTAAAATAAAAATTAATAAAAAAAAACCTTCATACGTAATAATCTATTTTGAGTTCTGACTGTCCAAATTGACATAACTGACTGATGTTTTTACGACAGTGTAAAACAGAAAACTCTATTGCATTACAATTCAATCCATTTGGCTAAGAAAGTCACTAGTGCAAATTATTGCTTTTTCTTACTCTCATCTGAAACAATTAACAATGCTTGGCTAAAAATAAACAAAAATACTTTTTAAAAATAGTTACAATTTTTTTTTTTACACCTTGTTATTTTTTCTTTTAGTTTATTTTTTCTTTTAATCGTCTAAAAAACATCTCTAACGCATTTTGAGGAGTCTACTAAATTATTTTGTTGTTGTAACTTTAAAACTAAATTTCAAATCGTTACCAAGATGCCCTTGATAGAAAATGAAGTGTGTAGTGTACTACTGATTATTTAATTCACTATATTTTCCTAGTTACGCCATTTTTTACCGAATTAATTTCTTTTTTTGAGTTAAACAAACTTGTTGCAAAATAATTTATTTTAAGCTGAATTTAATGACCAGTTGCTTAATTTTCATAGCAAAACTAAAACTACATTATTATGATTTGTTTATTTATTGACGTATTTCTTACTTAACTAAGTTCCTCATTATGCACCGTTAGTTCATTTTTTTTAATTCTCATAAAGCTGGTTTTACTTTTTAAAATGTACTTTAAAAATCTGACAGAATGTCTTTATTTAGATTTTCGTAACTGAAGGAATATTGTACTACCTCACCTGCAATTCAGAAATTCTGTGTGACTTACTAGAATTAAAAAAAGAAAATCTTAATTGAATGTGTGTAAAAATTTTACGTCATATTTTTTTCATTTATATTTTTTACTTGAAATATAAAAATTCATCAACATCTCTCTTTTTCATTCTCTTTACTTTATAGGAGATATGTCCTAAAACCTCAACCAGTGTCTGAAATTTCGGATTGTACTGAACTAAAACCTGCTTTTTTTCCTATATGTACACATAAAATTTAATTTGTAAATTAGGCAAAATAAAAAGGGTGAACAACTTCAATAACCAATAACGAAGCTGAAATAGAACAGTTATCAATAACTGTTCTATTTCAATTTCATAAATGTAAAACTAAAAGTTGTCTGATGGACAGAGAATTCTTTACCGTAGATCTTAGCAATGTCAGCAAATGATTTTTCTTCATTTGAAAACTTTTGCTTTTCATTTAAATTATGTCAAAGGAACCACTGTACAGCTTCACTTTAAAAGGAATGTGTTATTTGGTAAAAAACACCCTTTCAGAGAGTACTTTGAGAATCATTGATGCTTTGGCAACCTTTATTATCAATCGGAGTCTCAAGAGTTGACTCTATTAATAATGACACAGCAAACTATTTCCAACATAAACTTAAATCTGCCTAGTGAAAAGTAGAAAATAAGTAACTGTGATTTGCTTAAAGTAAATGTTGCTGTTTGATGATCATTGTAGCACAATTTTATTTCAGGGAAAATAGAGAAAAAAAAAACCTAGTTACTCTAATTAGGATATTCATAAAATGATGAAACATCATGCTATAGAGGTTCTATGTAAAAGTTCAAGGAATTTAATTATGAAACAAACAAAAAAACAATTTAGCCTAACACCTAATTTAATTATTGTCTTTGACAGTGGCATAGCTAGAGTAAACGTCACCCGGGGCGGTTTGCTCAAATGTCACCCCAATGACCCTGATTCACCCTATGCTGAATGGTTAGCTGTAACTAAATTTTCATACATGCTCTACCTCTACTTTACTCTACTGACCGGTACGTTACTGTTTACATGTATGATCCCAGACAAAATCCAATACAACAAATTAATCAGTTCAAATCAAAAGCTGAAAACATTGCTATTTTTCCTACTCACAAATTTCCTGACAATTTATAAGAAAATTTCTGACGGAGGGGGACAAAACTGGGGGGTTATAAATTATTTCTGGGGGGTCATATGCCAGTCTGCGAAACCCTGTGTCTCTACCACAGTTTTTAGACTATTTTTGGCACCTTAGCCTGGTTGAAAAATTTTGTTCGGGGTGACATTGTGTCACCCCTCCTGTGCTGGCACCCGGGGCGGTTCGTGCCAAGTATCTTTGTTCTGTAAGGCTATATCCTTTGTTCATTACTTAAATGAAGCATCATTTATGAAGAAGAGAATTTCAGATTTAAGTGGTGAGAGAGGAAAGGAAAAATAAAATGAAACATGATCACTGAAATTTTCTTTTTGCATTTTTTTGGTAATTTGAAAAATTACTATCAGAAACCTTGGATAATTTTATATTTATTATTCTTTTAAATGTTTATAATTCATGAGATTAGAAAAAATTCAAGCTCTTTCACTGCACATCTGAGCACCTGACCTGTTTCTTCCACATATTTGGATTGGAAGGCAGATAGTAATTAATTCATGTGTAGTGTGTTTTGCACAAATAGATTTAGTGGAGGCCATCTCTGTCCAGGTCAAACCATGGCCAATGTCATACAGCTTGAAGGCTCACCTTGGTCATTAATGACATATTTTTTCAATGCTCTTCCAATCTTACTAGATACATAGCATCACCTTTTTTTAGATCCAGACCAACTATTGCAGTGATTAATGAGTGCCCATTTTATTTTCTCAATGACCTTTTTCACTTCACATTGTTGTAAACAATCAATTTTTCAATACCTGTGGGTGTTCTTTTCAAAAATGGGTTGTTTCTTTTGTGTTTGAGCAGAGAATTGCAGAGGGAAATGCGCTCTGTTAATTTTTTTATGTTAATTCTTGTGACACCCATGCACCATAGCAATGTGCATATCAAATGCCTTACAATGCTCATATGAGATATGTGGAGTGTGACCTGAATTATTTTAATTGTAGTTTTGATTTGGTCATTATAAATGCCTGCAAGCCTGCTGGAATATTCTCGGTTTTTCCAGATCAAAGTTTCCACTCCTGAACAATGCTCCCAGCTATGGCACCATCTCCATAAATGGCACATATCTTTTTTTTTTTCCTGTTTGTACAATATTCTTCCTTCTCTGGAAATAAAAGAACATCAAATAACAGAATTTTATCTCATTTTTCTCCATTTTCACTTCTAACATAAAAACATTAAAAATTCACATTTCACGCATGAATTTTATGAAAAAACTTGAAATGTCACTTTAAGAACATATATATGTCATAAATTTCAGTCCTGTGTCAAATGATGCCTACTGAAAAATGCTGTAAACCCAACCCCATTTATAAAATTATAGACAAATGTACACTGATAAATTCTCATTCTTATATCTATTACATATTATAAACATTGTCTAGAAAACAACAATTTTTTTTCTGGTATTAATATTTTTTCATTGGTGTCTGTCAAGGTTTCCCTTTTGTTTTTTATATTTACAGATTTTTAAAAATGAATGCAATCATTGCTGTGTGTCATTTCTGTGAGCTTCACGGTCCTCGGATTGTGTTCTGTACACAACCATTTCACCCACAGGAACCTCGTACTGTAGATGATGATGATGCCTTATCTGATGTCAGTTCTGGACACATGCACTGTCGATCCAAAACTGCACATCGTGGATCTTTTTCCTCCACAGACAGTGCTGCTGTAACTAGTATGAAAACAGATCTATGCGAGGTGAGCTTTTTGTTTTTCCAAAAATTAAATCCAAAGCAACTTTATATAAATAGTATTTTCCACTTGTGTATGAGTGCTTGTTTGGAACACTGAACACTCAGTATATTTCTAGTAGTGGCTGCCCTGTTGGATGGGGATGTAGAATATGCTAATCGCACCTCTGCAGAGGGGTAAAACCCTTTTCTCCCCAATGAGAACATCTGTTTGCCTATTTGGAAATGCTGAAACTGTCCTCATAATGTCCTACCTTAAAGAAATAGATTTATACTAAAACATAACATCTACAATAGATCATCTACAAATAATATGTCAATAAAACATACATTTATCTCATAAGTATAAAATTACATTCAAAATATATTTAGTTGAAAGGATAAAATTGTGTTCGAAATATATGTAGTTGAAGGCATGAAATTGTGTTCGAAATATACGTAGTTGAAGGCATGAAATATGTAGCAAAAGGCATAAAATGGCATACAAAATATTTAGAGTTTAGCATTAAATGACCCATTGACGTTGATAAGCCACTAAACTAAATCAACCAAACTAAACTCAATAGTAGTAGGAGCAATTGTTAATAACTGGAATTTTCAGTAATTCAATTACTACCTGCAACTGCTTGCCAACTTTTAAAGTGTTCTGAGCTAAAATTTTGCTACTTACTGGTTGACAAGTTATTTTACTTGGTTTAGGACTAAGAAGCTATTTTTATAAGTGGCTATAGTATGAGAGTTATTGGGCTGTTTTTAATGTTGTCAGGTAGCAATTAGGATCACACTGGAATTTTTGATAACTTTGCTTTTATTTTTTTCATGTAATTTATGTCAAAAACTGATATTTGAGCCCAGATTATGGTGCTGAAAGTGGATAATGATCAATTGAATATATGAAAAGAACTGAGTATGTTTTAAATATCTTTTTGGAAACAATTCTTTTACATTTTACAGATTTAAATTATTTTAATATTTGGGAACTTACATTGAAAAGGAAACAATTTTGTTTTCAGCATTTTTTGTTCACATTATTCAAAGTTGTGGATGGGGGTCAGACAAAATAATTGTGTTAATTTGACTGAATGTTGTGTTGTATGGGCACAAAATTCACTTGATATAGGAGTGTCAAGTTAAACCTGTCTGGCATTTATAATATTTATTTCAAGATTCCAATGATTTTCTGAGAAATAAGAGGCAGAAAAAGCAACTATTCAGAATTGGTCATTTAAAAGTAAATGATTAAACACGTGTGAGATTTGATTAACTTCAAATGATCATAACTTGACAAATACTTGGATTTAGGCCAAAGTTAGACCAGTTCTGAAATCCTGAGACTGTCTAATTTCAGACTCGATACATAGCCCATATCACTTGTTTCAAAAATGGCAAGTATCTTTTTGCAAGCACATAGTGAAAATATCATAATTGGTCCTTTTGTAGACAATTTGTTGTTCTATTGTTATAAAAAAAACATGCTGTCTGGAATATACAGTATAGAGACCATTTTAACCAAACATTTAGAATTAATCTTTTTTTTTTTATACTAATGCTTATGATTTAATTTCCCTACAGAATAAGCATCATATCTTGATAGCTTTAAGAATATAAATGATATCATGAGGACATCTTTGATATCAATATTTGGGCCCAAGTTTTGAAAAATTTCTTTACTTTTTTTAAAGTACTGAGATACATACTGAACTTTTGTTCAATAAAAAAATTCATTGTTTGGTCTGTTATAGCTCACTTTAATCATCTGGACAATGTTTTGTGTATAAATAGGTTCATTTAAGGATTTGATCAAAATTTATGTTGAAAATACTTTTTTTGTATGTCATATAATTTTGAGAAGCATTCAATAAAAATTACAAAATGCCCAATTTTTTATTTTACTTATAAGACCCTATGGTTTCTTTATTTATGAACATGGCTTTTGTAGAACTGAAAACCATTTTTTCATTACTCTTTTATGCTTTTATTGTCTTTGTTTCATTTAGTTAATTATTTGGTGGCTTACATTGCTTAGATTGTTTAGGAAAAAAGCTTATTTAGAAAAATATGGTTTATTGACGATTATCAGTTTTCATTGTATTATTTAGAATAATGTAAAAAATACTGTTTCTGTAATTCATTTTCTGTACTATATTTTGAGTTATTAATGATTTGGATCACCCCCCCCCTCCTTTTTTTTTAAAGCTAATAATTCATTTGTCATTGGAATTATATTGTTTTTTTGAATATTATGATAAAGGCAGAAAACTCTTTCTATTCTTGCTACTTTTTTTAATGCTCAGTATTTAATATACTGTTTGTTTTCATCTGAAAACATTTTTCTATTCTTTAATATAGATAACTATTAAAAAATAGAAAAATGGTTTTAAGATGAGAATAATGATTTCTGGGCAAATTTTAATATAGGGCAAGGCAAAAAAAGGCTTCATCTAAAGGACCTTTTTCTCTTGACATTGCTATTACCATGTCCTCCATCTGTAATTTTCATTGTCTTAAAAATTTATTTTTAGAATTTTAATAAAGCCATAACATATGAAACTGAATTTATACATTTATTTTTCTTGAGAATTTGCAAAAAAAATGTTAAACACTATTGAATATTGCTGTCTCATCTGGTCTGGTGCTTCTGTTATGTATCTAAAGATTCTTGATGAAATCTAAAGAAGAATCTGCAATGTCATTGGTCCTGACTTGGCATCTTAGCTTCTGTTACTTTTCCACTGTGTAACAACTTCACTGTGCTTTTTCTATAAATATTTTCAGTACTAGATTGGCAGTTAGGTTTCATTATTTAATTGTTGAAATTGCTGAATGTAAATTCTATACTAATAATTTCTTGTCTCGCATTTCTTGCTTGTGGAACTCTCTTTTGGCTTCTTGCTTTCATGTCAACTATAATCTTCAAAAATTTAAATGCAACTTTAATTGTCATTTTTTGTTTCCTTGAATCTTGGCTTGTTATTGTTCTCTTTCTCTCCTTAATGACATTTTCTAGTATTCTTTCACTCCCTTGCATCCTAGTGGCTTTATCACCTTGTTTTAAGGAGAAATGATAAAATAAAGGAAAAAACCATAATTATTTATTCTGTTGTTTATTTACCAGATTAATCTTTTATATTCTGTAATGAGCAATAACTATATGAAAATTAAATTTTTGATTTTTAGAAAAAAAATACCTTCCACAATAATTTTTATGTTTTTTACAAAAGTATTTTTAGAATGTTAAAATACATAACATGTGAACTTGAATTTATACATTTTTTTCTCACTTTAATTTACCATAACTTCCTCAGATTACTTCTTGCTTTAATTTTTGTGGGGTGGGGGTCAGTTTACTGTTTAGCTTTATATACTATGGTTTTATTAAAATTCTAAAAATAGATTTTAAAATAATAAAAATTACCAAGGTAGTATACAGTAATGGCAGGGTTGAGAGAAAATGTGCTTTGGATATGCTATTCTTTTTTTTTTCTCTTGTTCTAAGTGAAACTTTGCCAATTTCAGGCTTGATTCCAATGTATTTTGACCATTTCTAATTATTTTGATTTCTGACGGTGTTGTTTATTTGGCAGGGTTGTTATTCAGTAAAGACAGGATTTGTGAGCCATGACGATGAAGGTCCCATCAGTTATGTGAGTAGTCAACACCCACACCACCCAAAGGTTTTCAGCATGGTCCGACAGGCTTGTTTGCGCAGTCTCAGCTGTGAGGTAAGGAACTAAAAAAAAAAAAAAAAAAAAAAAAAAAAAAAGTTGATTTGTCAGAACAGATTTTTTTGGTGTTGTAAGCTAATCATCACTCTTAACCCTTTTATGCTAATGGCATTGTTGTATAGTGTTGTTTTACAACACATGATCAGTAGTCAGCTTCCTGTTGTCTGTCTTTTTACTCTACAATTTATTTCTCCTATGGCCAACATAAGCAAATATGTAAAATCCTATTTGCCCATCCCACTACAGGGATATTAAATGATCTTTCAAAAATTGATAGGCCTCTCTAAATGTTGGTGTGTGAACTTCAATCTAGAATCATTCCTGTGCCTTTTTTTTTTTTTTTTTTTTTTTTTTTTTTAAACAGTAGTATTTTCCATTGAATACAGGAGTTTAAACTATTCCTTTGCCGTTCATTGCTCTAATGTTCCAGCTGCTCTTAAATTAGGGTTCATCTTTTTTTTAGTTACTATTGGATTTGCTTTGACTTGTCTTAGCATTTTTTTTTTGGTTGACCATTAAGAAAGTTTCTGTGGAATACCAGTTTGAGGAATTTTGTTGGTAGTGTTAAACTCTTTTCATTTTAATATAATTAATCCAATGGCACGAACATGGATATGTGGAGTGGAGATGGAAATAAATACCAAGACAGTCAAATGACAAAAATCTGGTTTCTAAGTTGGAGGATTGTGCATTCTTCTGGTTAATAAATTAATGCCTTGAAAATAAATATTTAACATTTTTCAACCAATGGGTTGTGTTCCTGTCAATAATAGAAAAAACATGCTTCATGATCCCTTTGAAGGGTATTTAAGCAAAGTTTCTAGATGAACACAGAGGAAGAAGACAGACTGCAACAGTTTTATGGCACATTGGCTTAAAAGAAATTCACGTACTCATTTACCCATCTTCCTCACCAAGCTATGGGACACTTACAATTTTCTGCTAACCTCTTCTTTCTCACACATACATGCAAAGAAATCGTATTTCTTTTCATCTTAAACAACTTCAAATAAGGACTATAACAACTTTAACACTCATACATGCTAAGAAAAATTTAGTTGTAAAAAAAAAACATGAAAATAAAAATATCTTATATTTTTATATTTAAACATCTTTTACACTTTTTTCGTTGTTGTGGGTTGATTCAAATCTGCAACAGATATTTAACATTGACAGTAGCTCAAACCTTCATTATATTGCTGAATTATATTATTCTTTTGTTTGATTGAGAGCTCCTTTATCTTAACAGTGATAGCCTCATTACAAGAAGGTGAAGGATTGATCATACTATATTGCTGGAAGATTCCAGAAGTTTCAATGCAGTTGCATAGAAATGATCCTTTTTAGAAATTTATAAAAATGTTATTTAAGTTTTATAAATACTTTTTTTCACTATTATTTTTTGTTTACATTTTTTTTTTGCATTGCATGTTTGAAAATATATCTTTTCATGGGAATTGTTAATTTTATATCAAAAGACATCACTTATGTAAATTTCAAGTAATAAATATTTTGCAAGTGTTCAAATACTTTTTTCTTCTGCATTGTATAATCATCCTTGTTATTATTCCCATGACAGGGTGTGGTTGTAGTGTTGCCGCACAGTTGACCAGTTCCTTTTACATATCTGGGTTGAAAGCCAGAGAGATATTCATGCATAGATCAAACTATAACTGATGTCCTCTAACTTGAAGGCTTGTTTTGAGCATGGATACATGGTCATTGATTCTAAGGAGATGAGGGAACCCTTGTCATTGAGTGCAGTCTAGGAAGCCCTCTGCCCAGTGATGATGTGTCAGCTATGGAGTTCAGTCTATCCTGTTGTCCTAGATGGCCATTGATCTTACTAGAAGGCTTATCTACTCTTTGACACATCTTGTTTTTAAACCTGTTGGGTGTCTAGCCACCCTCCTTACCAGAATTGTTCTGGATATGACAATAAACTACATCTGGCGACAAAGCCTCTGATTGAGAGGTTTTGAGGAGCATGGAACCACCTCTTAATTGCTGTCGTTCCTAGGTCCATCTTGACCTGGGGTGGTTGCACTTGTTAGGGTTCCAGCTATGGGCAAATAGTGAAACCCCAAACTGGGGTCAAAACATTATGAAAGTTTAAAAATACATTTTTGTAGTAAGAATACCAGCAATACATTTTCATTGTAAAAAAAAAAAAAAAAATTACCAGCAATACATTTAAAAAAAAAAATTACCAAAGCTACCAAGAAAATAATTTCAGAATTAAATGACCCATAAGGAGTTGATATGCCATTAACCAAACTAAACCAAATCCTCACCAGAAAAAAACTGGTAGATTTAGTTGCTGATGATTTGACCATGTATAATATAATCACTTATTTTCATATATTTTGTTATCTGACAAAACCATTCTACTTAATAACTTTTTCTTCTCTTGTAGGTTTGTCCTGGCCGTGAAGGTCCAATATTTTTTGGAGACAAGCAACAGGGCAATGTTCTCAGCTACACATTTTATATCCAGGATAATCAAGCTCGAGGGTTTAAACGTTGGTACAGTATCATCATTGTCATGATGGATAAAGTCTACTTATTAAACTCCTGGTCATTTCTTGTGCCCAACCTTCAATTAGTCATCAAACAGTTACAGACAAAAGCAGAAAAGGTGCGTAATGTATTTTATACTTTTCACTATATTATAAAAAAGGCTATTAGTTTTTACATATTTTAAGTTTTATTACAAAGTGGTCTCAAAATAGCTAATCAAACTAGAGTTTAATACTAAAATCAAGGAAATGTAAGATGGTATGATGGTTATCAGATTGGAAAAATAAAATCTCTGAACTGAGTTTGACTTCCAGTCAGGCTGTTTATATTGGTCTCACATTGATACCCTTTGAAAAGGGATGAATCCAACTCCTCCTGTAATCTGTCTCATTGATATTCATCTTGGCTATGGTAGTGTTACAGATAGACCATGATCGGTAAAAAAGCAGAATGTTTTTGCTCATAAATTTTCTACTCTTGATTCTGGAATATACTTGCCTGACTTTCCACTGAGTCTCTGTTAAGTGATATGCATATAATTCCTTACAGGGTTTTTGATATCATCTCTAATCTTGATCCCCACAAAGCATGTGGATCTGATGGAATCCCTGCAATAGTCCATAAGAAATGTGCTCCTGAACTGGCTCATGTTCTCTCTAAACTCTACTGTATTGATATGTAAATGAGGTACTGTATAAAAGGCAGTATTGCTATACCTACAGGAGAGTTATCATCTCTTGACAAGAGAATACCTATCATAACAATGTGGCATCACTGATTGGCTACTTAACCATGAAGAAGAACCCTGAATATATTGAAACCTGGCTTAGGTGTTTCACAGTGTTTGTGAAAGTAAAAAAGATAAAGGACACCAAAGCTAGTGGAGGAGAAAATGAAGTTACGGATTTGTTTTTGGCCTCAGCAGGATGTGAGGCCATAAAAAAATCTCCATCATAGTCTATCCCAAAGTGCTGGAAGATTTAGTATATGAAGAAATTGTTGCTATCATAAAAGCAAATATATGACTAAAAAAAAGATTGGTCATAGAGGAAAGAACAAAATTTCTTGAAAATAGACAGAGACCGGATGAAACTATTATGCAATATGTACAGCGATTGAAAGAAGCGTTGAGATATTTGAAAGAATAGGTCTATCAAAGATGAGCTAATTTTGCTAACACTGATTGAAGCAATATTTGACATAAAATTCTAGAGCGGCTTCAAGCTCATAATATGAATCTGGAAGCAGGTGTGGAGATCTTAAACAATTGGAATTGATTCAAAAATTTAATGCCTCTGAAGGCAGCATGGAGACTTATAGTGCTACTAAAAGCTTACTTGTATGCAAATATAGCAACAAGGAACATGAAAAGAGCAAAAATGAGTGTCCAGCCTTTGGGAAATGGTGTTTTAAGTGGAAAAAGTGGAAAATATGGATCCTCCAATTGAAAGTACAGAAGTATTTGAGATAAAAGCACAGAATAAAAGTAGGGAAATGGTGAAGTTGAATGGAGTAACCTTACTCATACAGGTGGATACTGGAAGTGATGTTACATTGATACTGAGGAATTTTGGGGAAAGAATGGGTAGACCAAAATTAAAGAAAAGTAATTTCCAGTTGAAACAGTTTGATTGGCTAATCATCAAAATTTTAGGATGCTTTCAAGGTATGTTTAAGACCAAAAATAGATTCAAGATAATACCCATCATGGTGGTGGAAAGCATCAAAAGCCACGGTCTTTTAGGAATTGACATGTAAGATTGGATACATTGAAGCTGATAAACTCCAAGAAGTCTGTAGAACCAAAGGTTGGATTCTTAAGGGGATACAAGGCAAGTATTCGGCTTAAAGAAAGCCATCAATCCATGTATTTTCAAGCCCAAAAAGTTCCTGTTTACATGCTACCCTTGGTGGTTGCTAAGCTGAACAAAATGGTGGAAGAAGGAATATTAGAAAAAGTCAGCTAAGGTGGTAGCAATTGGGCTTCAGCCATTGTAGCGATATGCAAGCCCAATTGAGATTTAAGAATTTGTGGCGATTATAAGGTGGATGTGAATCATCAGATCTGTTTGGATTCATTCCTATTGCCAAACATTGAAACAAGCATGCTGTGAGTTTGCTGGCATGAAATACTTTGCTAAAGTTGACCTCAAGTCAGCATATAATCAGATAAAAATTGATAGCAAGTTTTAAGAAGTCACCACAATGAACACCCTTATTGATTAATAAGATGGATTCGTCTGCTGTTTGGAGTAAAAATGCCAAGTCACATTTTCCAGAAAGCCATTGAAAAAGTTTTGGAGTGTTTCTTTTTGTACTAATGCCGGTGTCCTCCAGGGCTCTATACTTCAACCGACTTTGTTCCTAATTTTCATCAATGACCTTCCTGATGGCATCAGTTCTCAAATATTTACAGTTAGGTTGGCTAGATGCAATTGTAAGTTCTATGCTAACAGTTTCTTTTTTCACACTTCTCGCTTGTGGAACTCTTTCTGGCTCTATGCTTTCTAGCCAACTTTGATCTTCTTCAAATTTACATGCAATATCAATCATTATCTACTGTTTTCTTGATTACTCTTCTTTTATTGTTTTTGTGCCTTAATAATGTTTCTCTTTTTTCTTATTCTTTCACACTCAATAACCCCTTGTGTTTTAGTGGCTTTACTGCTTTGCTTGCAGTTAGGTCTAAGATACTTTTCTATTACTAGTGTTATGTTACCCAGTATCATCTACTATTTGACACTCAGAGATAAGCACTGCCAATCTCCAGTCCTTGATTTCTGAAATGCCATGAAGGAATAAATGTTCTATATGAAAGCTGAATCTAGATACCTAATGAACAGATTAGTTAACTAACCAACTAACAAAATTTTAAGAAAATGTACCTTTTAACCCTATAAGATTAGATGTACCCAAAAGTTTCACATGCTTAAAGTAGATTTCTAAAACCATCTCATAACCAGTAGTGAATAAAAGACACTCATAAACTTATGATATCTTATTCAGGTAGTTTTTACATAGAATTAAATTTATTTTTTCATTTTGATATTGAAATACTGTGAGCCCCTTCCTATTTGCGTTTCAGCATTCACAGACTTTTCTTTAGAACATATGTATTCGTTATTTGCAGAAACCCTGAATATTTGCATGTTTTTCTGAAGAAAGTATGTACAAATTATTCGCTGAGAACTTCTTTGATTCGCGTATTTTTTCGATAGAACATATTTAAAATATGCTTGTATTATTTTCCTGTTAAGTGACTTAAAACATATAACAGTCCATTTTTATGGTAAAAATTGGCAGAATTGTACATCCTCATTGTAAAGAACAAACGCAAAAACATGTGTAGTGCTTGGGCTTTGTTCTTTGTTAGGGGCTATGGCTGGGGTCTTAAAAGTGGTTTTTGCTAAGTCTAGAGGCATCATCACAGTTCTGTTTTTAGAAAATGTTTTAAACTTTATATTTTATACAGTATTTTCAATGGTTGTATTGGTCTATGCATAATTAAAAACGGTTATGGTACGTATGAAAGAAAATTTACACTATTTACTATTTTTCAAAACTTTTATAAAGGGTCTGAAATGTTTCTAAAGTGTTTAGGATGAAAGTTTAAGGCATATGGGATTTTAACAATCAAAATAGGTACTTATAAGCATTTTTGATTGGGTGGGGTTACAAGTATTCATGGATTCTAACTATTTGCAGCCACTTCTGGTCCCTAACCCCTGCAAATACGGGCGACTCACTGTACTTAAAAATATAAGTATATAACAATATTTATGGCTTAAACAGAAAAACTGTTTTTATGGAGTAATTTGTATATTGAAATATATTAGTAAAATGACAGTGTTGCCCTTCATATGACAATGTTTTAATGTTGGGAATATATTTTTGCCATTGTGGGTATGCAGGTGCGATGGATAAATTGTCGTTTAAATTACGCAGTAGTGAAAATTGCACTGACATTTCATTTTAACAGATATATTTACCAAAATTACATGAAAATATCTTGAAATATTAAAGAGTAAATTTATTCAATAAAATTGCCATTGTCTTCAACGACGGCCTCCAGACGACTTTGAAATCTTCTACATCTCTTCTGGACAGTCTCCTTGTTTAAGGTGGTGAATGCTGTCATAATCCTTGACTTCAGTTTATCTTTAGTGTTACTAGGAGTTTTGTTGGTCTCTTGCTCAACCACACCCCATACATAATCAAGGGTGTTGCAGTTTGGAGAATTAGGTGACCAGATGTAAGAGGTGATGTCACAGAAATTGTCTGACAGCCATTACTGGGTTCTCTTGCTTGTGTGGCATGGTGCAGAGTCCTGTTACCAGACATAGGGTCTTTCAGCAGCCACTCTTTTGACCCAGGGCAGCACTACCTCTTCGAGGCACTTGATGTCTTGAGTCTGAAGCCCTCACCAATAAATTCAGAAAGATCAGTGAGTTTTCTGAGCTGTCGTACCTTCATAATCACCATTAGACATTCAACTCTTTCTGAATCCTCTGCACTGTCCTCAGAATGACGGCCAAATACTCTGAAATGTTCATTTTGGAGCTTCTGTGGCGTGAATGCCAAGCTGTACAGCATGTTGTTTCCAAATTTCTGGTGGAGTGAATTATGTCATGATGCTCTTTTGCTCACAGACGGTGCCCAACTGACCCTATTATGTACATTATTTACATTATTCGGACTATTGTCCTCATCTTTGTTGCCATATTTATCACAACGTTTCGGCCATTGTACGCTCCGGCCTTCTGGTTGGTGGTTGGAATTTCGAACCGAACCCTTTATTTCGCTCACTGGGGTAGACTGTTCTAGTTCCACGTGCCATGTTTAATGGATGTCAGTTATCTCCTGCTAATTTCCCTTTGAAAGTTCTCCACTGCCTTAACCGGGTATTGAACTCACACTCTTTGGGTCCTGTCACTGGATCTAACCAACACCTTTATCCACTGTGCTTGAGGACATCTGGGTATGAATTTCTGGGTATTATAAACCTAATGTCTTCATCAACCATTTTTACCAGTGCTCATATTGCAATTTTGCTGTTATCATTCCATGTTTTTACCAGAGCTCATATTGCAACTTTGTTGTTATCATTACTTTTCTCTGGCACTCATATTGTATTTATTTCTATGCTTGGTCGGCTCAGGAGATTTTTGTGGCCTAGCATATGTGCTGAATCCTTAAGTTTACGAATTTTCCAATCTCAACATGATCCCACAGAGGGCGGTGATCTCCCTTCTCTCTCCATATGTGGTCAGCCACACCTGATTTTTCTACTTCCCCTTGTGTTACAGCTTTCTGGTGTTCTTGAAGCCTTACCTTGAGGGGGCGGCCTGTCTCTCCTTTATATTCCTTTCCGCAACTGCACGGGATAGCGTACACACAGTCTTTAGTCATGTTCTCCTCTATTGGGGGGTCTTACTCGGGATAGATATCTGCGAAGTGTCGTCAAGCTTTTGAAGGTTGTCCTGATGTTTTATGGACTGCAGATCCTTTGTATTTTCTCTGATAACCCCTTCACATAAGAAATATAGACAGACTCTGATCCTATTATACTGTGCAGTTGACAAAATCAAAAAACAAACAATGTGTATGTGCAATATTAAAAATATAAAATGGTGACAATTTACCCATCGCACTCTGTATATTAAGTGTTGTTTATTTTTATTATTCATAAACCTTCCACACTATCAAAAGTAAAAGGTTTGAAAGGAAACTCCCATCAATATTAGAAAGAGTTATAGCTGTGAACTTGAAAAGTTCGTTTTAAGAAGGTTTTATAAATTTCAATTCATAGTAACACTAAAGGAACAGTCAATGAATACCGAATGTTTCCTGTATGGAAATGCCTAATCTCATCTGTTTCAGTTGTTTCATGAGATGCTCAGAAATTTAAGTGCGTTTTCATTACACATGAGTAAGAAAAATTGATTCAAGTTGACAAAGATAAGGTAATCATTAAACTCTAAAAATTCTTAAAGAATTATTTCAAAAAGATAAAAATTAAAATTTAATGCAAGATGAAAATCAAATTTCTTAGATGAAGCATTATTATTAATTTTTGACTAGTTCAGTACCTGTCACTTTACTGACAGCAAGACGATCAAATTTCAAATTAGAATATATATTGTTTAAATACAGATGTCATAAAAATGGCTTCAAAGAGTCAACTTATACACTTTTCCTGTTACCTGATGGTTGTTACCAGACAGAAAAGGAAATTAGCCCTTGTAACAAATTGTGTATGTATGTTTCTGTATATTTCTCCTAATTTTTAAAAAAAAGAAGACTTTAAAAATAATTCTATTACTGAATAATTTCAACTAAAATCTCATAAATATCTGATTTTTGTCTCCAGCTTTATGATTATATTGCTCAGCTCAGAATAAGAGTTGTCCTGACTGAGTTGTACTTATTTCCATTAATAACAATATTTAATCAGCTTTGTCTCAGGTTTGTAGTTGCTGCTATTCCTAACTGAACTGGTTACTCATCTAAACATCATCACTGCTTAACAGTACAACTAGTAATAGTAAACATAAAACCTAAAGAACTGACATAAATTTGAAGGAAGCTGATGACCAAAATTGAAGAGAAAATGTCTTAAATAAAGCATTATCATTATTCATTTTTTTTTACTATTCTTTTTTCCTTTCATATTTTTGTAGTTGCTTATTGCTTTTTTTATCACATTGTGATAAAAAGAAACAAATAGAAAAGTTATCCAAAAAGGAATAATTTAAAACAAGTTCAATACTTATACTAAACTCAATGCTAAATAATAACAATCTTAGAAAGTTTTGTTAATTTATGAAAATGTAAACTACTATGAAAAGTCTTTGTCTTAGACACTATCATTTAACACAAAAACTAAATATGGTGTAAAATTTCTAATGAATGATTACTTTAACAAATACATGACAATGAATGTACACTATTGTTCAAAAGTTTGAGGTGACTCCAGAATTAGCATGGGATGAACTTGACAGAAGAGTGAAAAAAAAAAAAAAAAAATGAAAAAGAGATCTTAGAGTCATTGAAAAAATAATGGAATCAATGATCAAACATACTTTGAGAAACTTTTGCAATGAATGCCAAAATTTGTGCTGCATTAATCAAGGCTAAAGGAAGATATTTTGACAAGAGCAAAATTTAATCATAAAGTGCTTTCTCATAAAAAATCACGTCTTTTTTTTTTAGCCATGTATAATAATTTTCTCTTATTTAAAGTACAAAACAACCACTTTTTGTACTACTTTATTTAAAAATTTACCAGGGGTGGTCTCAAACTTTTGAACTATAGTGTATGTATATGTTAGCAGGTGAATGGGCCTTACACCTAATCTTATTAATTAACCTTATATGAGGCTGGGTTTTTGTCATAGGTTCAAAAACAAATGGCTGAATACTATATAATTCTTTATTTTTGTAGGTTGAATTTGCAAAATTTTCACATTATACTTGTAGAACTTTTATTTTTCTTATCTGCAAAATGATGGTTTGGGAACTAATTATACTTTACTTTTGCATCTTTTAGGTCTATACAGAGGAGCAAGCTCGATGCCCACAGAAAGGTTATAGGGATAGTATCTATCCAGCTAATTTCCGATTCCAGCGTGGTGGTAATAAACCTGCAAGGTCACTGAAAGAGCTAACAGATGAAAAACACATTTTTAAAATGTTACATATGTATTTTGTATGGATTTTGAAAGCCTGTGTAAATCGGACAACAGAAACATCTCTGGAAGCCCCACCAACAGAAGATGCCATTTTAGACACAGAAAGACTTGAAGGTAATTTACAGTATCTTTAGTTACTTATTTTTTTTTTTAATGGAAGTTAGTCTTGTTGGGAATCTTCAGTTATCACAAACCATTACTGACTGTTTATTATGAGATGTATTAAGAGCATTTCTATAACCAGGTGATTGGTCACTTTGTTCTACATGGATTATTTTGGTAGTTGGTTCTGATAAAAAAAAAAAAGAAAGAAAAGGACCCAGTTGTAGAGTTCTTTTGCAGTAGTTTAGTGAACAATTCTTGGTTCTGTATTCAGCTGGATTAAAAACCAGGTTTCTTTGTGTCTGTAATTACAAAGAATATGCCTTTTTTAAGCACTATTGATTCTTAGGATCAATGTCAGATTTAAAACTATTGTTAATTTCAAAGTCTGATCACTTTCTTTGTATTATTGGATATTGTCTGTCTCCTGTTTGAACATTTTGCATAAATATTGTGAAAAAAGCACCATCAGCAATAGAGCTCACACATAGATAACAATGCAACAAACTAATGTCAGTAGTGTGGAAATTCAATATATCTTCATCCTTTATTATATATATATATATATATATATATATATATATATATATATATATATATATATATATATATATATATTTGTGCAGCAACCTTTCTTTTAAACATTTTTGCTAAATATTTTTTATTTACTTTTTCCAGCATCATTACATTTTTCTGTTTGGTAGGAGCAAGGGAGTACAAAGATTTTCCATAATTTTCATTGTCCCAAGTTTTTTTAAAAATAGAAAGATGTTCACATGAATTCCAGCTGCAACCCAACACGCAAAGGCTTGGGATAAATGCTCCTATTCAAAACAAACAAAAATAAAATACAACTTAAACAGTCAAAACATGAACAACACCAAAAATAAAACCCCCTTGAAAATGGCTAAAGAAGTGACTGAAAGTGCTTGGGACAATGAAAATTATGGAAAAGCTTTGTACTCCCTTACTCCTACAAAATGGAAAAATGTAAGGATACTGGAAAAACTAAATAAAAATTAATTAAATCTTCCTTGTCTGTCATATTTAACGAATCTCACTGTAGTTGATTTGTCAGGAAAGTGATTTTTTGATTTTTATCGGCCTGGAGGAGGCGATCTCAGTGTGCGGCACCTTTGGGAAGTGCCTGAAAACCATACAACAAGTTGACCTTCAACCTTGTGAGTGAAATTGGGTAGATGGAACCATTTAGGAGCCATTGATAGTTGTGCTAGCATGAAGTCACAAGTCATTGTGACCAAGGATTTCAGTGTACTGGCCTTGTTCAAACTGTTGATCATGCTAGATAACATGCTCTCTCCCAGAAACTTTAACTAAGGTCTGCTCAGCATAATTACAGTATAAACCAGAGGTGGACTCTGTGGGTGTTGAAGAAACACAAATGTGCCCAGGCAGGCATCTGCAACAGGGATTAGCTAGCCACCCTAGTAAACAGGCATCCTTGAGTGGCCATCCATCCATATATATTATGTCAGCACTCAAATTTTGCATGGTCTTTATTGAAAATTAGATCACTTAAGCATATAATGAATATATTCAAGTTTTGTTTTTTATAATTCAAACTTTCTTTATTTGTGGTGAAATTACTCATAAGATTCATTTGAACTGAAACCATTCCAAACATATTGAAGAAACCTGGCTGGCATATTGATTTTTACATGAACAACTTTCAGAATAAAGTGTTATTAATTACAAAAATATTGTTACTCCTATGCTGTTCTACCTTATCTGCTCAAGACCAAATGTTTACGTGGTATAAATGAGGTGATATTTGAAAAGGTCTTGAATTTGGTAATGTAAAATGGTTGCAACCAATTGGTTCTACCAGATTCATTTATCTTTAGCTGTATAAATAAATCAACCTTTGTCATGAAAAGAAAATAATTCAAACTTTAACTAATAATAAGTAGTGGTAAGTACAATCATAGAAACCAATTTGTGTACATACCGATACTTGGCAGATGTCTAAAAACTTTTCAAATCTTTTATAATTGGTTTTTCCAACAGTGATAATCATTTTGCTTGTTGCCATTGTGTTACACAGCAACGAACTTCTTTACTGATATTTAGTTTTTTGTGTTATTAAATGGTAACAGACATGATATTATGGAGTGCATTTAATGACTAGAAGGAGTTTGATTGATCAAAAACTCTGACTATTGCTATCCTTCATTCCAATTTTGGAACTTGTTGCTTAGAAACTCTAAAAAATTACTATTTAAAACTTTATTTTTTTTCAGCATTTTATTACATTTTACAAATAACCGATTTTGTATTTTATTATATTTTTTTCCAGCAACTATGATTAACTTAAATGGTGAACCTGGAAATGTTCTTTTCTGTTTGTCTTTCATCATTCAGTTCTTTTCAGTAAATCTTGAGACAGACTTCTTGGTTACTCATTTTGCTTCTGTGATTTTGGCCAATAAAACTCTTGATTACATTTCCCAAGCTGAGAAATACTTGAATTATAATGACTTTTTAAAAAATTTTGAGTATAAAAGGTCAGTTTCTTATTAACATATTTGAATTTCTTACTGTAGACTCAGACTTCTCGGTCTAAAATCATTGAAATGGTTTGTTTTCAGCTTGGTCATCTTTGGTTCCCCTTGGCCCAATTTGTGAAATATTTTTTTCTGAATAAGCCTCCACAGACTTGTTTAAGGTCCTGTTTCATAATTGGTACTTACACCTCATCATTGTGAGACTGGTTTTAATTTTACTTGTTCCTTTTCAGGTCAAACATTATCAGGTATTTCTTCAGGTTCATATTACACATGACATCCTTTCAAATGTGCACCCAACACCTCTTCAGGTATATTTTCCCTCTCCTGATCAACAGAAAAGATGGAGTGTTTCAGAGTGGCACAAAGTATGTCCATGCTTTTGACAACATTGAGATGACTAATGAGTCTGAACACACCATCATAATGGCGGGATGAAAAAAAAAACAAAAACATGAACAGATTGATTAATACTGGCACCACCTTCACAACAACCACAACCAGCAGCAGAAAAGCAGAATTCAAATCCATTGTCAGTTTCAATAAACTCATTGGATGCTGGTTTTAATTTCTCTAGATCATGAAGTACACTTTCCCCCTTGGGTTGTTGACATTCATTGAAGAATATGCAAAAGTGAAAAAGTTTATACAGTGAAATGGGTATGAATGTATTTTCTGGTCAGTGTCAAAGGAGACACTGAATTAGCTGTGCATGGTTTGACAACTGCGGTAATAATTTTAAAAATCCACCTTTTTGCCTGAGGTATATATTTAAATATTGATAACACCCTTCAGTATAAAACAGAATGCTAGCCTGGGAGAGGCAGCTATTTTTGTTGGCAATGAAGCTGAATTAAGCTTGGTGGTGAAAGGAATTGAATCTTATGGATGTAAAATTAAAGGCTTATATCGGGAAGAACAACTCTTACTTTTTTTTTCTGTTTTTTGTTATGTCAGTTTGTGCACAATTATAAATTTTTTTTCTGGTGTTAAGATAAATGCAATTTCTTTATGAAATCAATCTGTTCTTTTTTTCAGAACCGTTCAAACTTTGTGACCTTATCACTGACAAAATAAAAATATTGATTCCACTCTGTGAACATAAAACATTCTTTCCCAAGGAATAATGTTTATTTCTGGTACATATTTCTATAATATACACCATCAGTATTCTGAAACCTAAGAATGTGTTTTGTTTTTCAAGTATCTAGATCAGGGAAAAATTTGCAAAATTACCTTCTCTTTTCCTACTCTTAATCCTCTTTCAAAAGGGCATCTAGATGTTGTGTAATGGTTAGCAAACTGCTAGAACAATTATGACTGAGTAGTGAGTTCGATCTTCACTGGGTGTCCCATACTTTTGGCCTTGTGACGCATCTAAGTTACACTTAAAAAATCATCATAATCCTCTTTCAAAATGGCTGCCACTTTGGGCACTTAGGAAAAGAGATGTCATTGAATTTGTTTTTGGAAAGAAATTTCTGCAAACATTCACAGGATAGTAATGAATATTTATCACAGTAAGAGGATGGATTAGTAGAGTTAATGGTTATCTTAGAGAAAAAGGAGAAACTGACCTTAGTGACAGGCCCTACAGTGGCAGGTCAGCTGTTGCTGTGAATGAGGATAAGGTCAAACAGGCTGATTCTCTCATTATAGTTGACTGAATAATCTATATTGAAAAACTCTGTGAACACCTGCAAGTGAGCCTTGATAGTGCGGTCTTGGCTATTTAAAGTGGTGCTCCCTGAATGCTGACTACTGACTATTCCATGAAGAAGTAAAGGGTGGTTACTACCCAAGAGTTCTAAGCAGGATAGTCACAAGGGATGAGACCTGGGTTCACTACTATGAAGTATAGAACAAAAGAAGATTAGTGAAGTGATACCACTCAGACTCTCCTGAAAAAAAAGCAGCACATTCCATAGGGAGAATGATAGCCATTGAACTTTGGGGCCAGAAGAAAGTTTATACCTAGTGGCACCATTATCAATTTTGATTCCTACATGAACACATTGTCAAAAACAAACCAAGGTCATATTTGAAGATGAGTGAAATGCTTTTGTAATATGACAATGCAAGGCTTTGAAGCAGCTTAAAAACCAGACAAGCAATCATAACACATGGCTAGACTACTTAGTCTCAACCAATTTACAGCTCTGACCTGGCACCCTCACTTTCATTGTTGGGCCTCCTGAAGTAGGCAGTCGTTCTTCAGTGATGATGAGATGAAAGAGACAATTTGTACATGATTAAGAAAGCACTAACGAAGCTTCTAGAAAGTATATATGCTGTCATTCAATTTTTGTTTTAATCATTTTGCCCCAAGCAAGGCAATAAAGCCACTAAGATGCAAGGGGTTGCTAAGTGTAAAAGAATATGAGAAAAAGAAAAAGATTATCAAAGAGAGGGAACAATAAAAGAACAGGAATTAAAAGTGCAGAAACTTATGATTTTTGTTGAATTTAAATTTTTGAAGGTCAAAGTTGACTGGAAAGCAAGAGGCTGAAAGAGAGTTCCACTAAACAAGAAGTGTGAGAGAAGAAACTATTAGAATAGAACTTATGATTACATCAAGCCATTTCACCTGTAAAATGATAAGGCCTATCTACCAATTTAATAATATGCTTAAATTCAAAGGTGGATTACCATTATTGAGAAGGAAGGAAATTATTGAGGATGAGACTTAGTCCTGAGACTTTTAGTATGCTTTATGTGTTTATTTGTTCTAATTAAAAAATAACGCATTTGACTATTGGATGCATCAAGCATATTTGTTCATAGTAATCATGGCTATTCACATTAATGCTTATCAAAAGTTTGGCTGTTTACAATCAACTATGGTTACAGGCATGATGAAGTGCTGTTATTTCATCAGTAGAATGATACATTTCACTATTAGTACCATGTGTTTAAAAAGTCATTGGTAGGGATCTTTATACATTACTGAATAATAGTATGTTAAATCTGGATTGAAGCATTGACATAATCAGTTGATTATTATTATAGTCCTCTGCCATTGAGCATCCTAGACTAATAACCTGTTGGACTTTTAGAAGTAATAGTGAAACACAATCAACAGCACAACTTGTGCTGATAACAATATAGTACATTAATGCCATTAGTTAAGGGTTCAATATGGTTTTGTCATAGATATAAATATATCGAAGAAAGCAGCACTTCATTTAGTACATTAGTATTTGATTTTCCAATCTTTACCAGAGATATCAGTCATTTATATACCATGTGTGATACACGCTTAGGCGATTATGTATCATTCAATACATGACTGATGCGGCAGATTTTTTCCTGCAGTTGGTTGCCATTTCTTTCTGTGGTAGACCAGTTGCCATCCATGGCTATAGAACCCGGTCTGTGCTGCTATTTACTCATAGCTGTAAAAGAGGATTTATACCTTTCGCAAGGGTATTAGCATGTATGTGAATGTAATGGATTCGACTGGAATTTGAACTCGGCTCTCCAATTCCTCAATCCAAGACGCTATCCATTATACCACCGTGCCTCCATACAATTACATATTCTAACACTGATAAACTTCTATAGCAAAATATCATACCTTCTTACAACACTGTCTCCTGCTTTACATGTTTAAAATGATAGTCTGAGTTGTATAGATATTTTCATTGTTTATCATTTATCAGCAGCCATTGAAGATAACTTTTGTAATTCAGTCAATTAAATTCATTTATATATAATAATATGTGAATCTGTCACATAAGTTAAACTTTTGAAAAAATATATTTCAACCAAACTACAATAAGTGTTAATGAATAATGCTCTAAACCAGCATTCCTCAAACGGTGCACTAATGTGCCCTGAAATGTACACAGGTGCACTCCAAATTAATAGAAGAGTAATTTATGAATTACTGTTAGATTTAAAAAATCTTTATTTTTAAAAAGCTAGAGACACCAAGCACATGGCTTCCATGTCAGTCAAGTTTTGTCATTTGATATTTTAAACTGGATGCTAAATTCATTAATCTTTAAGGAATGGGTAATCCTTTTACCTTTAAGGGATTTAAATCAGTCATTATTGACTTCTCTAAAACAAATTAACAAATTATTCATAAATCCCTTTAAATGAAAATTCTTCTGCTAACCTTATTTGAGAATGCTAAATCAAAATTCCATATTTTCAAATTTCGTGACTAAGATTATTTAACTTATTAAAATTTAAAGTCTGCCCCAGAGTTTCAGTTATTCTTCGAGTGCACCTTGAAGTAAAAAAAGCGTTTTAGAAACACTGCTTTAGAATAACAATTAAAGGGAAATTGACATTTAAAATTCTATGATCATACTGAGGATTATGACTGCTCAAGTTTGGGAAATATTGATCCAAATTGGAAAGTACAAAATCTTAAACAGATCGAAAAGTATCAATTTATCTTCATTTATAATTTGTGCAGTTTGAGCAAATATTCATTAGAATTCCTCAGAGAAAACTATAATTATATATATATTTTCTATAATTATATATTTTTGTAAGATTCTGACATTTTTACTATTACATATTTTATTTTTTGTTGCTTTTTAGCACATTTTTAGCTTAAATATCTCTTAAAATTTTAAACAAGTTTAATTTAATGGCTGAAGGATAGATTCGATAAAACATGATTTAAAAAAAGTACAAAAAAGATGAATAGACTACTTAGAACCAATATGTATGTGAAAATACTTGATCTAAAAAAAAAAGAATGTAAGAATAGACTATTATTACTAAGTAGTCAAGAATAATGTGGAATAAAGGTAAGAAAAAGACAGTGTCAAAAAAGAAATGATTGATTGATTCATTTTCTATGGCTTAATCAACCCATTGCAGATTATTTAAATCCAGAAAATATATTTAGATTGTAAGAATTTTATTTTTTTTTTTTTTTTAGATAATAATGATTTTAGTTACACGAGTCTTACTAATTAACCCATAGCTAGTAGAGAAGAGAAGTCATTACTTTTCTAAGGGTATTTGTGTGTAAGTGAATATAACAAACACAACGGGAATTGGAAATTGGCTCCTGATTAACAGTTCTGAGCTATTATCCAATACACTACCTGCACATCCAAGCTTACAGCACCTGGTATTCCCAAAGAGTCACCCATCTAAGTACTGACAAGGCTTGACATGGCTTAACTTGGGTGATCATACAGGAACCAATGTTTCAATGTGATGTGGCCATAAACCAGAAAGAGATGAAAATCCTGCCTGATAAAAGCTTTTGTAGCCTAAATAGTAAAGTATTGTTACAGGACATAAGAAGGTATGAGATAGAAGTTGAAGTCAATCGTATATATTGTGTGAAACGAAATCTGATGGTTGTTAACTAAATGCACATTAAATTGTTGCCATTTTATATTTTTAATTTTGTGCATGTGGTTTATTTTTGTCGACTGCACAGTATAGTAGGGTTAGTTGGGCAGCGTCTTTGACGAAAAAGAGCATCATGACACAATTCACTCTGCTAGAAATTTGGAAATGGCATTCTGTACTGCATGGCATTCGCAATGGAAGCTGCAATATGAACATTTCAAAGTGTTTGGCTATCAATCCGAGGACAGTGCAGAGGATTCAGAAAGAGTTGCATAAATCTAATGGTGATTACGAAGGTGTTTGGATTGATCACTAGTGATGGTGACGTTATGCCACCATTCATCTTCCCACAGAACTTCAGGCTCACAACTGAGGCCCACATCAAGTGCCTTGAGGCATTAGTGTTGCTCTGGGTCAAAAGGGTGGCTGATGGAAGACCCCATGTCTGGCAACAAGACTCTACAACATAAGCAGGAGAACCCAGTCATGGTTGTCAGACAATTTCTGCAACATCACCCCTTACATCTGGCCACCTAACTCCCCAGACTGCAACACCCTTGATTATGTATGGGGTGCAGTTGAGGAAGAGACCAACAAAACTCTTTGTAAGACCAAAGATGAACTCAAAGCAAGGATTATGGCAGCATTCACCAACTTAAACAAGGAGACTGTCCAGAACAGATGCAGGAGATTTGAAGTCATCTGTGGTTGAAGTCAATGGCAATTTTATTAAATAAATTTACTCTTTAGTATTTCAAGATATTTTTGTTTAATTTTGGTAAATATATGTTAAAATAAGATATCAGTGTAATTTTCATTTTTGTGTAATTAAAAAAATTATCCATCGCACCCTGTACATATGCTAACTTTGTAATGACATCTTCAAAAACACGATTTGGCATTGGGAAGCTTTTGCAAATTGATTGCTTATTCAAGTCTGTTCCTTTACTTAAGTTACTTTTATATAAAGTGCAGTAACAATGTTGTTTCATTTTGTTTTTATGGCTTATTAACCCTCTGTTATTTAAAATTGAAACATTTTGGATTGTAAGAATAATTTTTTTTTTTTTTTTGTGAGTGAATATTGCATTAAGTTTTTTTGGAAAATAATTATTTTTCCAGATGCAAGTCCTACCATTTAACCCATAGATGGGGAGGTTGATGGATTCATACCTTTCTCAAGGGTATTTGTGCATGAGTGAATGTAACAAACTTGATTGGAATTAGAACTCTGTTCTCCAATTTCTCATTATGAGCTGCTATACAATACACCACTCACACCTCCATACAGTAGCCAAATATATACGTTTGCGAAATTAAACAAGCACCAATTTGTAGCTATAGTGACATTAATGGAAAAACAAAACTAAGCTTACTTTTTCAGTCATTTCTGATTTTTTTTTTTTCATTTTAGTCTTAATGCTTTTAGACTTCAGTCACTTTCTCATTGATGTGACATAACTTCCCTGTCTTTTTCTACAAATATTTTCATGGCAAATGCTCTAAGCTTTTTTTTCCATAGTGGCTCGACTACATGAATTTAAGTGTGTTACTAGATTGGAAACCAGGTCTTGCCCCTTTTTCTATTGAACTAGCTAGATGCAACTGCCACTTTTACTCCAAGGTTCTTTTCTCATACTTCCCACCTGTGGAAGTCTTCCAATTTTTTGCTTCCCTGATAACCACAATCTTCAAAAATTTAAATACAATGTCGATTGTCATTTTCTGTCTTCTCGAACTCTGTTCCTTTTTTTTTTTCGTCCTTTCCTCAATCCTCCCTACTCTCATTGTCTTTCACTCACTGTTTACTAGTGGCATTTCACCTTGCTTGGGGTGAAATGATAAAAAGAAAAAATCCTTTATTTCTGATTTAGCTTATTTTAGTATGTAAGTTATTAAGCTACTCGGTACTCTCACATATATTAAAATGTTTAATTCATACATTAATTTTTTCCATTAAATTCCATGAAAATGTCATCACTTTTCACTTCTTTGTGCTGGCTTATTTTGCTTTTAGGATCAAACCTTTTCTATTTATGATGATAAACTCTTTGTTGAGAGTAAAGTTTTTCTTTCTTTTTATTTTTTAAGAAATAAACATAGGATCAATTACCTGTATATTTTTTTCTACACTTTAGAAACAGAAGAAGGTTTTATCAAATTATACATGCGAAAGTCAAGCCCCGATCTAGAAAATGCAGAAATGGAATCTTCTGAGCCAAACCCAAATATTCCAATGTTTCACAACTTGCAGCATCTCATGCAGGTGAATTTTTTTTTTATTTTTCTAATAAAGCTTATATTGTAACAAACTTTTTTTTTTTTTTTTAAATTATTTAAAAGAGTGAACTTGGCATGTAATTTTTTTTTCTTTTTCATTTATAGGTACTTGGTTACCTCAACTTTCACACAGTTGCCCACCACACTATTATTGGTAACCAGCTGATTGTAAAAGGGGCCCAGAAACAGTTAGTTAAATCTATGCTGGATGTATTAAAGGTGAGTGTAAATTTATTTTTGAGAGGAATGATGGTCATATAAATTGTTTTGGATAAACCAGATTAAAAGGAAGAAAAAATGCTGCAGTGTTATGTCTCCCTCTCTCACATATATATTATATACATTTCTCACTTGATCAACCATTGCAATAAATTTTGACTAGCATTTCCTTTCTTTTAGTTACTTTTCATTGTAACTTTATCTTCTCACCACAATAAAGTAATGTGGGTCAGAAATAAAGAATAGACTTTTGGTGATTTGACTTATTCCTTTTGCTTCAAGGAAGGTTGAGTAAAGTGATAAAAAGCAGCTAAAATAAAAGGATGAAAGTAAATGCTAGTTACAATTAATAATCTGACCTCTTTAATCTGGCACCAGGCCACAGAAAATGCTGGATAACCCTGTGTAAAGATAGTCTTGCCAGCTCATCCCGCATATATAGTGGTGTTATCAGAAGTAGAACAAAGCTTAAAACAAAAAATAAAACTATTTATGCTTTCAAACAAGGTTTTGAAAAAAAAAAAAAAAAGCCTAAAATCTAAAAAATTATATTTACTATACTGTATGCAGCTTATGTAAGAAATGAGCAAGACCATATCACCAAAAACACTGCTACTGTGGAAAGTTTTAAATAATGTGTAGTGCTACTCTCATAGCTGCTCAACAAACTCATGGCAGATGATTGAAAGAAGTGCTGGACCACTGTGTCAGATTTAAGAGGTTGGACTGTAATAAATATAATACTGCTGGTACTAAAATCTATTAATGTAAAAATGAAAACAAATATAGTGGCAAGAGAAACTGTTCAATGAAAAGCGGGTTTATAAGTTAGATTTGATTTTTTAAAGTGTTTCTTGTAATTTGGTTAAAGTAGCTGGTGCATTTTACTGGGCTTCTCTGAGGTAAAGTGGAAATGCATTTGAGTCAGAATGCTTCTACTTTATATCTGATTTGAATCATCTTACTGTCATAGATTGACAATGAGTTAAAGAAAAAAAGGCTTTTCTAAATTTTTACTTGTAATAAATGAAAACACTTGACAATAAATTAAATCCTTAATCATTGTCATCTTAGAACAATGAGAGCAAGTTGTTTAACAAGGGTTACTTTAAAGGGAAAAATGTCAAAGTAACTTATCCTGATAATTTATGTAAAGTTCACAAGAAAATAATTTCAGGTAGGGCTATAGGGACCTAGGAGATTGTAATCTTTTACCCAGTAGTTTCTTTAGCCAACAGGGAAATATATTTGATTGTTTCTTACATTAGCTGAAAATGTTTGCATTTTAAGATTAGGACCTCAGAAACACTTCACAAAGTCATCATTCAATCCAATGCCTATTATAATAGGAAGACTGATAAGATTGTATCCCCCCGTTTTCTAATTTGGCAAACTTTTGTTCTTTATAATAGAAAACAAATTTTTTTTTACTATTTACCCAATAACAAAACCAGGTAAAGAGTTATAAAAATGAGAATATTGCAAGGAGAGCATATGGGGGATATATAACAGTTGATCTTTGATGAGTTTATCCACTTGGGAATACATTCCATATTACAAGTTTTGGAGGAGGAGCCCTTCTTCCTTACCAATGGAATATGAAGGGAATGTGAGTTGATTCAGTTTTTGTGAAATGGCAGGCTCCTTGTGAGTCTGGGTGTATGTTCTATTAGTGTACCAAGTGCATGAACCCAATGTAAGATTGTGGGAACAGCCCTGATTTTGGTCAATGTTAAATTGTTGACAAAACCCCACACTGAACTGCTGTGACAGACCTTGTCTTCAACTGAAAAGAAAAAAAAAAAATACTAAGACACCACAAACTGAATGGTACCTGTGGGATATATGTCCCTACTTCTGGGGTTGAGTAATAGCCATTTCAAAAATGTCTGTCCTCACTGCCTCACCCTGTATATCTGATGCTGTCAGGGTTTTGGATGAGAATTTTTCAGTACCCTTCTCCCCATATAATATTTAAAAAAAAAAAAATTCATATAAGCTTCTAACATATTAAAGAAAGGCAAACAATTTGCAATTGTATTTTTTTTCTCTCTTTTAGGGTTTGCTTCCCAAGGGCTGCTGTAAAACTATTTCTTACAGCGATAAATATGAAGATTCTTGGCGTTGCAACTTCCTTGGATTGCCACTGGAGATAGCTTTACCATACCATATTCTTGGCTCAGAACAGTTCCTATTGATGGAGATTATATGTCCAAATGATAAGCGAGATGACCTCAACATGTATGAGTTTAAGATCAGTAGCCAGATTACTCTTCCTGATAAAGGTAAGTTTTTTGTTTTTCTACCTTGGTTACTAGTAAACGCAATGCTAGGACTTCCAATATATTTATGTCAACAGTAGATATGCCTTTAATATTTCTAAAAGACAATCGCATCAACATTCTCGATCTATTTGGTAATGTCTACATTTTGCAATTAATAATCCATAAGTAGGGCTATATATATATATATATATATATATATATATTTTTTATATATATATTTTTTTTTGCATGTCATGAAAATGTTCATATCAGGCAGTAAAGAGATTAGTGGCATGTTAATCTGTGTTCACTAAATCTTAAACTGTGCTTGTGTGTAACAGTAAAGTAAAATTTCACAGCATCGTAAAATGTGTGCTTATGTTATTAGGGTCTTTTGATCAGTAATATTCTATTTCATTGTTTGCTAAACAGCATTAAACAATTGGTGTAAAAGATGTTTTGTGGTTACATTGCATAAACTTTGTGATATTGGTATTAAATATAGTTTTATACAAATCTGTAACTGATATTTTCAGCTCCCAAAGTGTTAACACAAATGGAACTGGCCTTAAGGAATACAAATTTAAACTATGAAGTAATTGAGCAGTGCTTGATCTGTTTAAAGGAAGAATGGATGAAGTGAGTAAAATACTTTTTCTCAAAAACATCAAGTTGATTTAAATCCACACTTATATGTATCAACCAGCTTTTGTTTTATCATAGATTTGGGAAGATCCATATGAAAATAATGTGTAAGCAATTTTTCATTTACAGTTTCAAAAGGAAAAGCTTTCATTAAAATATTCTTAATTTCTCAAAATTGCTAGTTAGGCCTATTTGATATTCTTAAGTAACATGGAAAACAATACAATGGAATTTAATTCGCGATTAAATATATAATTAGTAACTAAAGTTCTAAAAATCCTCCAAATGAAATATTTGTATTTTAATTTTTCTTTTTCTTCTCAGCAAAGTGAAAGTATTATTTAAATTCACAAAAGCTGGTGGTTGCCGGTCTGATGAAGACACAAAAAAGTTGCTTCAAGTTGTGGGAGCAAAGGACGAAGACAAACAGTTGCTCAAATTCTGGATGACTGGCCTGAGTGTACAATATCGCAATCACATTTTATCCACCTCTATGACACACAATATGGCTGCATCCTAACTGATATTAACCAGATGTTTGCTTTCAGATAACATAAAACATTGGAAAGCTCAAACAAGATTATTGTATACACACACACACATTGAATAAAAACAATTATCTTCCAAATTGATTTTTCTGAGAAAAGAAAGTCCTATCTTTTTTAGATAGGACTCTTTCACATTTGCTGTTGGAGTTGAAAACCTCTGAATAAGTTCATTTATTTTAACTTTAATATCATTTACCCTTGTAAAAAAAAAAAAAAAATTATGAAAAGAAAAAGCAAGCCAGAAATAAAACCAGAACCTATACTTTATTAAAAAGAAAAAAAAAAATCTTCATGGTAACAGAATTCAGCTTATTAGTTAAATTGCAGAGGGTGCTGCAAAGTGATTTACAAGAAACTTCCCTTCATGGAGATATTCCTCTTGAGAATATCAATTTCCTTTGTCTCACCAGATTTTGTATACAAGTTGACTTTTTTTCAAGTTTAATGATGGGCTAGGGAGGAGAAAAATAATGAGGAGTGTAAATTATTTGAAATGCACTTCAGTCAACATCAGTTCTTCAGCATGAGGTTATCACGTAAGGCTGGTGGACAAAAGCTCTACACTACCGCCTGCCAGATTTCTTTATACCACTATTCCCTACAAAAGAAAAGAAAAATGTTAGAGTGACTAGTATTATAATAGGAAATCTCAAATGTATAAGTATATTTACATTCAAATAAAACTAGCAAATTCAAAACCTAAACTGCCAAAATCATTTTGCCTTCTGTGACACAAAATTGACACTGCAAGGCATGTGAAGGGTTCCCAGGTAATTCTCTACCAAACTTTTCTCAAAAAGAGATCGAATAACCAAACATCAGATTTTGGTTTAGATATAGTCAGCACCCCCTTGTATGACAAACTTAAAACAAGTTCAATTCTTAGCAAACTTTTTCTCAAGAAGCTAGTGCAGGTGGAGTGAAAATACATACCCATTGGTCCCTTTTGAGAAGCTTTGGCTTTTGCTTCTTTCAAAGCTTTTTCTTTTTCTCTCTCCTTTTGTTTGAAGGCTACATCATCCTGGGAAAAAAATAAATAAATACGTTGTTTTATTTAGGTTAAAAATTTGTAGAAAAAAAAAAAAGTAAAAAGATTTAGTCCAGTAAAACTAAACTAGATCTGTGCAATATCTAACCATAGCAGTTTATTAACTTGATTGAGATCTTGAAAAGCTTGAATTGCTTCTTGAACCATTGCTTTCTCAAATTAATAAAATAGCTGTAAGGAATATATTGTTGATTTTAAAGCTGCTTGGATACAAATGAAGGTATCTTTGTGGCACATTAATAATCAGTAAGATTTCAATAAAATCATTTTATTGGGACATCACTGACTAATGAACAGCTGGAAGAAGATGGGATTGTGTGAATAAGAAAGACTAGTTTATAGAAAGGTGAAATGGGCTACAATTATAATTCTAACCAAAAACCAGTCCGATGCATTTTGCCTGTATTGGAAAATTAAAATTACTGTTAAAATATTTATTCCAGCCAAGCGTCTCAAACAAAATAGTAGTTTTGAGCCAGAAAACGAAAATGTTGCAACATGGCTCAAGTAACCTTATTAGTCAAAGTAAGCACCACCAGTATCTACACAATATTGCCAACAAGTATGATGGTCAATTTATTACATCACAACAAAAACTGCTGTCCTAGGAATTGATAAACTTTTATAAAACATTTTGAAACTAGTCTGCATTGGTGTGCACTTATATGCATATATATCCATACACACTACATTATATAAAATGTGCTATAAACTACTTCTAAAACCATGTTGCTGATGAGGAAATAAGGTTAGTTTTTATCACTTCAATGTATACATATACACACACTAAGAATAGATATATATATTTGTTCCTCACCATAAATTTTAGGTCTTGTTATCTTATATCAAACACTGTTTTATTATTGCCACTAGCACTCATTGTATACTAATTGGTAAAGGACAGATCTTGTGGATAGGGGAGGTGAGATAGGAACGAATGCCTAAATGCATCAGTTTTTGCAGTATCCTGTAGAAGCATGGATGGCTAAATCACAATATGACTTCTACACTAGCACACAAAAAAGGAGTAGATACATTTATTTTAAGATTTAGTAATATGCTTTTATCAGTAGGGTCTGTGGACCTTGAGGATTGGAAAAGAAGTGGTTACATTTTTGTAGGTGCTGTGTAACAGAAGATACACTGCTTTAAGCAGAGAAAAAAAAAAAAAGAAAAATGGGGTGAGGGCATGAAAAACTATTGGACCAATTAAAGATCCAAGACGAAGTCTTGAGAATATGTAAATTTCTAAGCAGGAATTGTTCAACATTTATATGTTTCTTTGGCAAATCATTGTAGTTGAACAATACACACTTTATACACAAACTATTGTTGAAACATACAAGAGGAGGACCCAACAAGAGATAGCCAGGCAGCTGAGAATTTCATGAAACAATGTTCAAATCATCCAAAAAGTGTTTTAAGTGCAAAGAAAACTGGAAGACCTCACAAGTTAGACAAGAGAGATGAAAGATTGTGAGAATCTTGGTTGGCAATCCAAAATTAACAGCCAGACAAGCAACAATTGAATGCAGCCTTAACAGTCAGTCAGGTTTCAGTATGCAGAGTATTATTGGGGGAAAAAAAACCCCAAAAAACTTTAATGGGTATACAGTAGAGAGAGAGAAAACAAAACAACCCCCCCCCCCCCCGCAAAAAAAAGAACTGAAGATTGTAATAGTAAAAAAATACATCTAGCATGGAATGCTGGAAAGTGGCAAAAAGTCATTTTTAGTGATGAATACAAAATAGCTACATTCTGATTCAAGAGAATATGTAAGATAACCAGTGGGAGAAAGAAACTTTTGCAAGACACACCCATAAAGATAGTAAAATTTAGCTGGTGGGTATGTAATAGTGTTTGGTTGCATCAAAAGTGATGTTCAAAGAAAAGTGGTAAAAAATTAATGGAAATGTAAAAAAACAAACTACATTAGTTTACTATGGTCTAATCTACCAGACTACAAAGATGTAAATTTTCAGCATGACACTGCTCCTTGCCACACACCACATAAAATGTTTTTGGCTGAAGATGCTCAACTTTTGTAAAACTGGCTAGCACAAAGTCCTGATATTAATATAACTGAACAGTTGTGATGAGAACTGAAGAAACAAGTACTACAACTAAAACTATGCAATCTCCAAGAGATTAGCAATTACTACCAAGTTGAAAGGAGAAAAAAGAAAAAAAAAAAAACTTTTGCAAAATTTTTTCCTTTTTAACATATGGTGAAATTTTTACCAGTATTTCTGCATTGTATTTTTTTTAAAGCAGCATACAGTTTTAACAACAAAAAAAAAAAAAAAAAAAAAAAAAAAAAAAAAAACTAACTTGTTTTCTAGTCCTCAATGATAATAAAACTGACAAAAGTACACTGCTAATCACTTATTTTTAGATAAAAATCAACAGCAGTAATAAATTTACAATGTTTGCCCAAAAGTTATGATATGACCAGGTAACAAGATGCAGAATGAAGTAATCCATTGCAATACCAGAAAAGCAGCCAGGAAGATCTTTTATGGCAGGTTTTATTAACAATGTTGAAGGGTGAGGTGAGAGCGATAAAGAAAAAATTTCCAATTATCACACTGAGACAAATTTTCATCAATGTTAAGAAAAAGAAATTTCTGCACATGCTGTTTGGTCAAATCATAAGGTATTTGTGGTGTTTGCATTTTATTTACTTACCGCATCCATCTCTTTCTTGTCTTTTTTTGCAGCCTTTAAAGGCTTTTTCTTACCTCCTGCAAAAACAGCAAAAGGACATTGCAAAATAAACAACCAGAACCTAATAAACTGATAGTCATACACTTAACATTTGCTCAGAATACCAATTTGTTGAATAAAATTCATCCTGCAAGATTCAGAGATTCATCTGGCCCATATTTTTCTATTAAAATGGAATGTGAATTGATTTTCTTCTCCATAAGAAAAAACACTTTTTCAGTCCCTTTTCCACTCTTCAACTGGCCTCCCTAAACACTCATGCATGCATTGAAAACACTGCAGCAATCTAAGTAAGGGGATAAGCGTAATAAAATGACATGACAAATACACTCTAAAAGCTTCTTTTGACAATGAAAAAAATACATCCCAATCATTTAAATTAAGTTTGAAATCCTGCAAAGTAATTTGCTTATTGAAAATATTAAAAATGTAATCTATTAGCTTGGAATTAAGGTATGTATCTCAAAAAAACCCAAAAAACCTTAGGCTTAAAATGGATTTTTAAAAATAAATCTTTCTTGAAGCTTTTATTCTAGTCTTAATTTCAAGCTAATAGATTAAATTTAATATCCCCAAATAAGCAAAATTTCAAAGACTAATTTGAATTTATTGGAAGGAGTTTATTTTTTTTTTTTTGTGATATGTAGCTGATCAGCATCCTTTTTATTTTTTAAAGTCACCTTTCATCACAATGTAATTCTCTTTATTAGAAAATCTTCCAGAAATTAAATTGCTTTTCGGAAACTGAATATTAGCTGATTTAAATTATAATTAGTCTAATTTGAAACATTTACTTTAAATTTAAAATATTGCAAAAATGTATTTTATTCAATAAGACAGTAGGTATGTTGACATGATGAAGACAATCTTCATAGAACATCATTAGGCCTATCTCTAAAACAGTTGAAGAAAATGACATGAGTACCTTTTTTGTTTCATTTTCAAGTACTCAGTAATATCAAAAATTTAGGAAAACATTCTGTAATCTAATATTTTATTGAATTTTAGAAACTTTGGCTTTAATTTGCTATAGTCATTGTTTGGACGAAAAAAAGAAAAAGGAAAAGCATACTGTGATGAAAGAAAAGGTCCCAAACTATAAAAACAATATTTTATTGTCTAAATGTTTGTTATTAAGAGGAAAGACCAAAGTATTTTTGATTATTTTTTTTATTACATTTTTTAATCCTTCCTAC